AAATGGTATGATGCTGGCACTACAGGCCACGAACGTGGCGGAGCATCAGTGCCGGAAAGCAGTGGACTCAGAGTACATAGAGAGTTTAGAGAGCTTTGAGAGTTTTCCAACGAGCGCATGTTTGAGGGTTTGGAGAGTTGAACGATGTTTGTTATGTTGAGTTTCTTAGAGTTTTTGAATGTTGTTTGAAAGTGGTATGATGCTGGCACAGCAGGCAACACTGCAGACCTTGCTGACGACCAGGATCTCGACTGACGCTATTCGTCAAGCTAGTTCACCAGTCCTTCTACTCTATGCTTCCATGTTACCTTTCTCTAACAACACTGCAATGGAGTTGTCCCAAAGATTTCGGATATGAAGCCTGGAGGAGGAGAAAAGCGACGACTGCATATATTGCCGCACACTTGGCATTGGAAATGAAGTTTCGAGAGGTATGAGAGTTCAGATTTTGCGTTGTGAGAAGAGTTTCGAAAGTTTGGAGTTTCAGACTTTGGAGAGTCTTTTTTGTTTGAAGGTCTGAGAATGTTGAGTGTTGAGAATAGAGTGTTACGGTTTGAGACTGGAGGTTTCTAAGAGTTTTGATGTGAACTTTGAGGTGACTACTTCTGAGTAGAGTATAGAGCTCGTGGAAACCTGCTGCACGCATTGTGAAAACAAGAGTTGCATCTGTGTAATGTTGTGAGAGTTCAGATTTTGCGTTGTGAAAAGACTATCGAAAGTTTGGAGGTTCAGACTTTGGAGAGTCTTTTTTGTTTGAAGGTCTGAGAATTTGAGTGTTGAGAATAGAGTGTTAGGGGTTCAGACTGGAGGTTTCTAAGAGTTTTGAGAGGAACTTTCCGAGCAAAACTTCAATGTGAAAAGTTCAATGCATTGAACTTTCATAACAAAACTTCAAAGTGAAAAGTTCAATGCGTTGAAGTTTCACATCAAAACTTCAATGTAAAAGTTCAATGCATTGAAGTTTCATATCCAAACTTCAGTGCAAAAGTTCAATGCATTGAAGTTTCGTATCAAAAGTTCAATGCATTGAACTTTTACATTGAAGTTTTGATATGAAACTTCAATGCATTGAACTTTTACATTGAAGTTTGGATATGAAAGTTCAATGCATTGAACTTTTCACATTGAAGTTTTGTTATGAAACTTCAATGCATTGAACTTTTGACATTGAAGTTTTGATATGAAACTTCAATGCTTTGAACTTTTGACATTGAAGTTTTGATATGAAACTTTAGATAAAAACGGGCAGCGTCTAGTTACAGAAAGAATTGTATAAATAGATTAAGAGGAACTCACCCTAAACCCTAAACTTTAGATAACAAAATGG